GCTATAACACAAGTATGAATATGATTTTATCCCATAGTATTATAAGCCAACCAAATGGAGCTTAAAATCAACTTGTCTTGACTTGATTGATAGAGGGTTTCTTTTTTGTCATATATATGTCTATTTCTTGATGTTCTAATTAAAGGATTTCCAAATATCAGGAAAATGGCTATTAATGTTTTCCCACGGTACAAAATTTGTGAAAAATTAGGGATTATACAATAGTATTTGATTTAGATAATGATTCGGCATGTTTTTTTGTCCAAAAAAATTTAAAAAAATACAATTCGAGTTCTAACTTTATTTAAGTTCACGTTCTTTTAAGTTTTAACTTTATTCAACTTTCCTCAACTTTATTCAAGTTACAACTTCAACTCAAGTTATAATTCAAATTTAACTCAAAAACTACACTCAAATTACACTCTAAAAGAGCAACTCCGAAATAATTTGATTAAAAAAAAAAAAAACTTTATAAGAAAGGAGGTGAGAGAGACATTAGTGATGGTGGCCATGTGCTTGGCTGCGGCGTTTTATAGGAAAAAAAACTAACGCATATATACAGACAATTTAGACGCTGACGACTTGACGTCAACTATAACGGCGATTGCGTCTTCGTTGGGGAATGATTCCGTCCATGGTGCCAGTTTCCGTTCCAGTCTCCACAACATGACCGTCACCAACGTAACGGAACAAATTCTGCCGTTCCAAATTTCGTTCACATATCATGGCTAATGTTGATGTGAAAAATTTTAAGATTATTTTACAAATTTTTTTTTTATTTTTTTAAAGGAGTTTCTCTGGTAGGAACGAAAAAAATGAACTATCAGTAATTTTTTACTTTTCAACTGTCAAATTGTATTAAAAACTGTTTGTTCTGTATATATTTTTACTCTGGTGTGATTTTGATCAGATCTGACATCAAAAATTGATCCTACTGGTAGGCGGGCTTACTAAAAAAATGAATTTTTTTAGTTGTTTTTAACTAGTTTTAAGTGGACAGGGAACTAGTTTTTAAGTTCCAATCATACAAGAAGCGATTGAAACTATACCTAGGCTATCACCTTAGTTAGTCCTTAAGGTGATGCTTTTCATCTTACATAAATATTTAATTTTGACATTTTTTTGTGTATAGATCCCCTATTATCACGTGAATAGTTATGATCGATCACCTCTACTCAGTTTTTCTTTTTCCTACTAAAAAGAAGCGAACCAAAAGTTTAACTTTTTGTTAGTTAAACCAAAAGTTTTACTTATTCATCATTCTAATATCTTTGTTCGATTGTTCTTGAAATGCATTGAAATTTAATTTTTGTTGTTTCTCTTGATCTGAGGCAGAAACAGCTTTGCTCGATTGTTATTGAAATGAATTGGAATTTAATTTTTGTTGTCTATCCATTTCATTTTCGTTAATTTTAACTTTTTTTTTTTAATGAGAGAAACTTGTGATACGATGTGATGAAAAATTAGATATCAGAGCAAGGGCTACTATTTAGTCATATGACCATGTGATCGGATTGATCTTTTCTTTTTATTTTTTTTAAAGGGAATAAAAAAATGAGTAAATGAACTTTTTACGGAAATTAAAGGATATTAGGCCTAACTCAACCTAACAAAACCGACTTGTTAGGAGAGGATTGCTCTAACCTTATTAAGTGGATCATGCCAATATCTCCAGCCAATATGGGATTCTAATACGCCCCCTCATGCACAGTGTCGACCATGCCAAACCGATACGACTAAGTCGATATTGGGGGACCTAACATTACAAAATTGGGCATGCTCTGATACCATTTTACAGAAATTAAAGGATATTGGGCCTAACTCAACCTAACAAAATCAGCTTGTTAGGGGAGGATTGCCCTCACCTTATTAAGTGGATCATGCCAATATCTGCAGTAAATGTGGGATTTTAATAGAACTTAAAGGGAGAAAAAAACAACATAAACATGAGGTAACGAGCAAGTTATTCATCATAAAAGCATTAAATGATAAATGTATATTAATAACAGAAGGATTTTTTTTTCTTTCTTTCTTTTTACAACCACTCAATATATTATATAACCTAGCCGTTAGGTTATTATCAAACAATTCAAATTATTTTTACATCTATTGATATATGTAAGAATGTTTTTTTTTGAAGTAAATAGGTAAGAATATTCAGTACTTAGAGTTACCCACATTCTTCAATGTGGTATATTATATAACCTAGATGTTAGGTTAAAATCAAACAAATACAAATTACGGATTTTTCACTATTTGGTATGTGGGAGATAAAAAAAGTTTGAGCTATTTTCTTTCCATGTTTTCAAAATGCTGACTTTAGATAAAGTTCGTAGTCCTACTTTGGTAGAAAATATTGCATGAATCATGGTTGGTAAAAAGGACCTAATATTTATTGAAAATTTGATCCAAAAGTGTGACCCATTATACCTGTGTTTACAATATATATATATATATATTGTGAAAAGAAAAATTTAGGGGACGTTAGTGGTACCTATTTGTCAAGATATCTCCATAACAATAATCCTTTTGGGGGAGCAATATCACGTGTAATAGAGTTTCTTTTGTTTTTTCCCCCCCCTCTTTTTTGCTTGATATGTGCATTAATACAGTTGTATAACATAAGTTGTCCTTCAACGAAAAAAGAAAAATGAAAAAAGGGGTCATTGGGTTAGAGAATAATAATTTGACACCATAGTTTGAACTTTGAATGTGGTTTGTCACATGGTTTTGTTTGTAGTTTGGCCACATTTAGGGGCTTCATTGAAAGAAATCATTAAAAGTTGTTACACTCAAAGCTTGCAAATTAAGGTACGGTATACCAGTGGTTGTTCACGTATCGTGAACTATGCGATGCATGTTGGATGAAAATAATTGCATGTACTATTTGATGCATATATGGAAACTTTTGAAAGCAAATACAAGAAAATTCAGATTGGTATAGTGCAAAAATGATTGAACATCTCTTTAAAGTATGTTAATAGGTCAAAGAGATCGTGTAGTTGGGAAAACTAGAGTTAGAACGAACTTATTATAGTAAAAACACTTTGGTTGACATCCCTCAAAATCAACTTTTATTTTTTTCACTTTTTCCATATCTTAACTTAGAAAGCATTTGGAGCAAGGATTCGTACCATAGTTTGGATCATGGTTCGTGGCTCACTACAGAGTTTTCTCTCACAAAAAATACACGTAAATAAAAAATGATTATAAATTATGAACCAAACATCCACTTATATTTTCAATTACCATTTCACTCTTCCTCAAAAATTTATGCCCATACATATGAGTGTGTATGTATTATGTATACGTACTATTGAAAACCATTTTGTTTCTCCCAGCTATAAACCTAAAACCTTTCTTTCCATTTGATGTATTTTTTAAACTCGTCTATATATATATGTGTGCGTTTGTTTTTGTATACACTTTATAAGTTATTAAAGAAGGTAATCTTCTCTTTTTTTGACATTGACTTCTTAAATTACAAACAAAAACATAAATATCTAATTTACATGGTATATATGTGATTTGAGTTTGGACACGTTGGCCACTTGCCACACGATTGAAAATACTGGCAAACTAACCCTCGGAGGTGTAGGCCACAAGACCCATGCCGGTGAGCTCCAAGGGTCAAGAAACCCATCAGCACGTGTGGGTCTTGCGATCAACTTCCTCCAAAGGTCGGGGTGGGAACTTGCGACCAACAACCCTACAACACCGCAACTCTAACCAATGAGTAAGATATTCTTTTTTTTTTTTTCCTTTCTTTTTATTTTCTCCCCTCTCATGTTGTTATTTTCCCTCCTTTTTATTCCAGTTTTGATGCTCCTTTAGAAGAATTTTGGTGTTTTTTTTTTTTTTTCTATTTAAATTTGGGATATGTTTGTTTGGTCTTTTTGTTATAAGAAAAAGATGATTAGATAACTTTAACATGAAAATTAAAACACAGGATGATATCGAAATCCTGAAAAAAAATAAGCTAAAACATATCAAAAATTTAGGGGTTGTTCCTTTACTCATAAACTAAAAAAAAAATTGAACTCAAGTTACAACTTTATTTAAGTTCATATATATTTTTTTTTTTTGTAAAATTTAAGTTTGAATTTGAGTTTTAACTTGAGTTTGGGGCTAAAATCTGAGTTCAAGTTTCTCCTTCAACTCAAGTTCTTAAACTCAAACTCAAGTTAATAAACAATATTTTTTCTATTTGTAAAAACACTATAATTTTTTCGTTTTAATTTCGATTGAGATGATTTTTTTTCTATGCTTTCACAATGAAGAGACGAGTAAAATCCTACTCATATATCCTATTAAAATTTTCCATCACCATTGAATTTTTATTAAAATACTACACAAATACAAATTCAAGTTTTGACCAACCCAAACACAAACTCAATAGATTCTCAATTCAAATCATAACTCAAAATATGCACATCCAAATACTGTTCATTAATTTGAGTTTGAGTTTCTGAACTTAAGTTGAAGGGGAAACTTGAACTCGAGTTTTAGTCATAAACTCGAGTTTGAACTCGAGTTTAAACTCGAGTTTAAACTTAAAAGAACATGAACTCGAATAAATTTGTAACTCGAGTTATCTTTTTTTAAATTTTTTACTCAAAAGAACAAGTCCTAAATCGCCCTAACTCAAATATTCTAAAAGAACAAACCCTAATTACTGAAAAATAATTGGAAAAAGGAAAATCCCTGTTTCAGGAAAATAATTGGAATACTTTGCCAACGCCATGTGACTGACGGCGTCAAGTAGCCGTTGGGGAAGAACACCGGGACCAAACGGTCGCTAGGGCCGTCAAGTCAATGCGTCAGCGCCGCTAAGTCTTTGCCTCATCCTGCCTCTCAAAGCCGCGTAAAAGTGGGTCCCACCGATTGTTGGTCCCAGCAGTGCAAAGCAAACCCGTCCTTTCCAAAAGCTTTAAAATACCATTATATCACATTTCATACGAACAAAAATACAAATAATTTTTTCATTTAAAGAACAAAGAAAAAAGAAAACCCAGTACAAAAGAGTTCCACAAACACAAAAAGACCAGAGAAGTAGAACTTTCATGGCGTTTTCCGTTATATTTTATTCGTATCATTCTTAAGATTCTTGGTTATCCATCAAAACTACAATATCTTTAGGAAAACAGCTGTTTCTTTTTTTTCTTTTATGTGATTTTTTGTTCTGAAGTTTCATGCCCTTTTTCTTTCCCTTCTTCTTCTCTTGTATGTGGGGTCCTCCACATCTTTTCTGCCCCGTAAATGACAGCCTAATCAACAGCCTGGAAAGGTTGGCTCTATAGAAAAGAAAAAACCTTAGCTTGATGAGATTTATGTAATAATATTATTAATAATAATAATCTCAACTGGGTTTTTGTTATTATTACTAGTTTTACTCCTTTTCAATTCAGACCCAGTCCAGTTTCCACTATTTCTAGCTGCTTGAGGTAACGAATCTGAGCTTTTTACTTGAAGAACAGTAATTAGAGTCTGTTTTGTATCTTGGCAAAGTTTATTTGCTTATGTTTTTGTAATTTTATCCAGTTTTGAGATTCTTGTACTTGTATTTGGATCTGGGGTTGCTTACTTTTGGGAATGTGATGTAATGCAATTTTGGGTTTTTGAGATTTTTGTTGAGTGATTTTTGGGTTGGGAATTTAGGCATTGTTTTGGCACATTAGATTTTCCTTCGTTGAGGATCTGGGTTGTTAGATATGGTGAAAATGAAACTTATTCAATTGATAAATTTGGTTCTAGCTTTTGTTCTTTTGATGGGTCAGGAGAGATCTTTTGCTTCATTCACTCCTGTTGACAACTACTTAATTGCTTGTGGCTCATCAAGAAATGTCACCTTCCAAGGTAGAACTTTTGTTCCTGATTCAGGCCATTCCTCTCTTATTCTAAAGAGTGGGAATTCCCAAGTTGCTACCTCAAATTCCACTGCCCCTTCTCCAATTTACCAATCTGCCCGAATTTTCACCGGCATCAGTTCATTCGAATTCGATATTGAGCGAGAGGGCCGGCATTGGATCCGCCTTTATTTCTTTCCCATTCGGAGTTCTGGCCAAAACTTGGCCTCAGCCTCAATGAGTGTTGTCACTGATGATTTTGTGCTCTTGAACAACTTCACCTTCAAGAACTACAGTGGCTCTTACATGTTCAAGGAGTATGCCATCAATGTCACCAAGGATGTCTTGACACTCACCTTCATTCCATCGAACAATTCGGTCGCGTTTATCAACGCGATCGAGGTTGTCTCCATCCCAGATTGGGTACTCCCTGACCAGGCAATGGCGGTAAATCCATCTTCCCCTTTTAGTGGCCTTTCTGATCTAGCGCTTGAGACTGTTTACAGGCTAAATATGGGAGGTCCTTTGATAACTTCTCAGAATGACACCCTAGGAAGAACTTGGGAGAATGATGAGAAATATCTTCATGTGAATAGTTCTGCAGTGAAAGTATCAGTCAGTCCTTCTAGCATAAAGTATCTGACTGCTGTCACACCGGAGACGGCGCCGAATTGGGTTTATGCCACCGCGGAAACCATGGGAGATCCTAATGTGGCGAATGGAAACTTCAACATAACTTGGGTCTTCCAAGTGGATCCAGATTTCATGTATTTTGTCAGGGTACATTTCTGTGACATCCTGAGCAAGTCTCTCAACAGTCTAGTCTTCAATCTCTACATAAACGACGATTCCGCGCTTGGGAGCTTTGATATGTCGTCGATTACTGGCGACTTGGATGTGCCTCTTTACAAAGACTTTGTTTCCAACTCCTCAGAGGGATCAGATACCTTGACTGTCAGTGTTGGCCCGGATACAATGGCTGATTTGACGAATGCGACTATGAACGGGTTGGAGATTATGAAGATCAGCAATGAAATCGGAAGTTTGGATGGTCTTTTGTCTGTCAAAAGTCTAAATCCGAGTTCGTCTTCGAAGCACAGCAAGATCGGAGTCATAGTAGGCTGCAGTGTAGGAGCTGTGGCTGCATTGGCACTAATCGGTTTCTGCTATTGTTGCGTGGCTTGTCGCAAGTCGAAGACCGTAAACCAAGGCCATCCATGGCTTCCTCTGCCCTTGTATGGCAACTCTCAGACAATGACAAAGATGTCCACAACCTCGCAAAAGAGCGCGACCGCAAGCTGCATTTCGTCGTCGAACCTGGGCCGTCTCTTTGTGTTCCAAGAAATCCTAGACGCGACCAACAAGTTCGACGAGAGCCTACTTCTCGGGGTTGGTGGTTTCGGCAGGGTTTACAAGGGAACACTTGAGGATGGGACTAAAGTAGCCGTTAAAAGAGGGAACCCGAGATCTGAGCAGGGTCTTGCCGAGTTCAGAACTGAGATCGAAATGCTATCTAAGCTCCGCCACCGCCATCTCGTCTCTCTTATCGGGTATTGTGATGAAAGGTCGGAGATGATCCTCGTCTATGAGTACATGGCCAATGGACCTCTTAGGAGCCACTTGTATGGAACCGATCTACCGCCGCTGTCATGGAAGCAGCGGCTTGAAATTTGCATCGGCGCTGCAAGGGGGCTGCATTATCTTCACACTGGTGCAGCGCAGAGCATAATTCACCGCGACGTGAAGACGACAAACATTTTGTTGGATGAGAATTTCGTTGCGAAAGTTGCCGATTTCGGGTTGTCGAAAACAGGCCCCTCTCTGGACCAGACTCATGTAAGCACAGCTGTTAAAGGAAGTTTTGGTTACCTTGATCCCGAATACTTCAGAAGGCAGCAACTTACGGAGAAATCCGATGTCTACTCTTTTGGGGTCGTTTTAATGGAAGTTCTGTGCACAAGACCCGCCTTAAACCCGGTTCTTCCGAGGGAGCAAGTCAACATAGCGGAATGGGCAATGACATGGCAAAAGAAGGGAATGCTGGATCAAATCATGGACCAGAATTTGGTCGGGAAGGTGAACCCAGCTTCTCTGAAAAAGTTCGGTGAGACGGCGGAGAAGTGCCTTGCTGAACACGGTGTTGACAGGCCGTCCATGGGCGACGTCTTGTGGAACCTCGAGTATGCTCTTCAGCTTGAGGAGACCTCGTCCGCGCTTATGGAACCCGAAGACAACAGCACGAACCACATCCCGGGCATCCCATTGACCCCAATCGAGCCATTCGACAACAGTGTGAGCATGATCGATAGGAACTCTGTCACGGACGACGACGCAGAAGATGCAGCCACAAGTGCCGTGTTTTCGCAGCTAGTAAACCCCCGCGGAAGATGAGAACATCGGATCTTTTCCAATTCAACGATCACTCGACCAGTCAATCTCCGCAGAGAAAAGGTGTTGGTTGTGCTGGCCTAAAGAGTGCTTGAAAATATATTGCAAAGAAACGAATAATGGTGACTTCGTTTTCTACATCAAAATTCTGTTTTAGTTCCTCTCCATTTTCTTCCATGATTAATTTGTAATATAGTTATGGCGGTGGGTGCCAATTAGTCCAACCGAAATTGCTTGTACGCTTATGAAAGATTCTATCGCTGTTTTGATACAATTTTTGTCAGAGTTTTCAGTTTCATGAATGAGTATAGAAAAGAAAGCAGGGTTTGTGATCACTGTGGCCTAATTGGCATTTCTACGATCCCTTGAATATGCTGATCAGCTGATATATGGTTTTATGTTTTAAGAAACTTGTTGATGTGTTACAATTGGCAGCTAAGCACTCTGGAGTGGAAGTTAAAGGAAAATGTCCAAGAATAACGAGTAGAGAGAACAACGGCTATGAGTTGAAAACATAAAAGTGTGCTGTGATTAAGGGAAAGTTATTTTGATTGTGGTATAAGTAATGTGCTTCTTCTGGCGGGAAATAACAGTGACCCAAAAAATAGATGGGTTAATTTTTAGGCAAAGTCTCACACCCTGACCAATACGGCACTTGTAATATTTTTGTTCATTCTAATATCATTTATATGTTCGTCTAGCATCTAATTTGCTTGAACGTAACACTCAATATTACAGGTCCTGGATTAATTTTATTGAATGTTATACGAATATATGAACGATGTTACAAGGACGAACGAAACATATTACAAGTGACTACTGACTGGTCGGGATGCCTAACTGGAGACACTTTTATATTTTGCTAATAATTTGTATTATTACCATGTCAATACTTATCACAAATCATTATTATGATTACAAATACAAATAGTTTTTTCTTTTAAAATTATTTTAGTATCCCGTGTTACGGCAAAACATGCTTTTGATACTTAGTATTTTTTATAATATCAAAACAATACATCGACGTTTTTAAAAACATATTCTTGGTATACTGAAGCTGATTTTTAAGACGTAAAATGACTTTAGTACCCTTCTATTTAATTAACCAAAAACTAATAAATTTAGAGAAAAAATATGAAAATTTTTTACTTTCTTGTTTTCTTTTAAATATTTTAATGTTTTAAAATATATTCTCAGATTTTTTTAAAAATTATTGATTTATATTTAATTAATAAAAATGATAGTTTGGACATTAAATATTCTAAAAATCAACTTTAGAGTATTAAGATGTTTTTAAAAACGTCGATGTACCGTTTTAATATTATAAAAAATATATGATATTAAAAGTATGTTTCTCTATAACACAAGATACTAAAATAATTTTTTTGTTTTTATAATTTACAAATACAAATAGTTATCATCAAATGTACAAGAATGACTTTAGGAGAATTACTATAATCTGACATGACAGTGACAATTATTTAGGAAATATTTTTTTCTGTAGTGCTACACTTAAACTTGACCATATAATAAGTAGACTGCCTAAGAGGGAATATATATATATATATAT